AAAAGAAACACCAGATAAGTTTGCTTCCTTTTTGGTTTCCGTAGAATATGATTCAACTGACGAAAGAAATGTTTTGCATAGCCAACATACTAGTTTATGCTTTTTCAGACCTACTGACGAAGACGAGGTTATCGCAGCAACAATGAAACTAAAATCTAAAAAACCAGAAGATGTATATGGAATGTCGACGGTTTTTCTAAAACTTGCGATGGCAGGTGTTTCATCAATATGGTGTTTTTCCTAACGAATTAAAAGTTGCCAAAATATGTTCTATCTACAAAAAGGGACATTTGGAGAATCCAACAAACCAATATCGATTCTTCCTGCAATTTCTAAAATTTTCGAGCACATATTAGCTGTCAGACTGACAAATTTCTTTAAGAAAACTGAGGTTCTCAATAATCACCAACACGGATATACTATAAAAGGACGATATATTACTAGAGGAGTTCATAAAGTAATACAATCTATTATCAAGGCAATCGATCAAAAGAAATATGTCAAATTGATGAGCATCGCTTTAAGTAAGGCATTTGATAGTGTTAGCTCGTATCTGCTGTACAAGTTGGAATGTTATGGTGTAAGAGGCACGGCGCTTAGCATGATAACTTCATATTTATCTAATAGGAAACAAACGGTAATGATAGATGGAACTTTGTCTAAAATGTATAATATCAATGTAGGAGTGATTCCATCCTAGGTCCTCTTTTGTTTGTAACCTATGTTAATGATAGATATGCCTTATTCTGTGCCTAATGACAGTTTGTGCTTGTACGCGGATGACACCACTTTTATGTCAATTGCGAACAAATTGGATGATCTACGAAATAAAATCCATCAAACATTAGTAGCTGCAAAGGAACGGTTTGGGGCAAATGGTCTAAAATTAAACGAGGAAAAGACTCAATACTTGCATTTTCAAAACAATGTCGGGACAGAATATACAACATAAAATTTTTAGGAATGCATTTAGACAACAAACAATACTGGCAAGCACATGTAGTGTACATCTCCAAAAAGTTGAACACCGCAATTTATACTGTGAGGAGAATACGAAATATAACCACCACATTTGCAGCGCGATTTACCTATTATGCCAACTTTCATAGCATTACTACATTCGGAATACTATTCTGGGGACCACTTCAGTAGCAGAAAAAGTTTTCCTTCTTCAAAAAAAGCCACTGAGGGCGCTATGTAACCTTAAATCCAATCAAAGTTGCAAACAACATTTTAAAGAGCAACGTATACTTACCCTATATTCAGTATATGTACCAAATTGTATTACACATATGCGGCAAAATATTGATAAATAAGAGAAACATGAATACAATACTCAACAAAAAGCAGAACTTGCAATACCGATGTACCGGTTGTAAAAGACACAAGTCAACGCGGTTTTCTAGTGCATTAAATTGTTTGACCATCTTCCCCAGTACATACGGATACTACCACAGTAACGGTTTCAATATGTAATAAAAGAGGGGTTACTGGAAACGCCCATTATATCTCATTGAACATTTTTTTGAAATAATTTGTTAAACTATATGGTTTTTGTTTGACTTTGTAATATGTTATTGCGGCAATAAATTATTATTATTACTATAAATTAAAAAGAAACAGAAATAAGTTATGTAGGGTGAGGGAGTTTGTGTGTTCTAGACTGGACGTCGCACCTTTATTTTACCTACATAAAGAAATAAAGCCCTCTCCCCGCGTGATGACAATAAATAGATGCAAATCTTTTTGCATCTATTTTGATAATTTTCCGTTTATTTTTTATTGTGCAGACGTATGGTAATTTCTTAGTTTAAGGAAGCGGTAGTAGTAGGTTAGTCGTTTCGAAACGTTAATAGGCTTATAACTCGTCTGATAGGGTCTTTTTGATTGCCTTCCAGTATATATTTCGAAATTATGAACGTACCAAACTTAAGCATCCACTACAGCGAAAATTTGTGTTCGGTATTTATGTGGTTTGGAGGGCAAATACTGTCTGAATGAGCATCTGCCCCTAAAGTCGACTAACATCTCGTCAATAGTAACTATCTTGATGAGGGGTGGGTCTTTTTGCAATTTTAATCAAATACAATGAAGATGTTACGAATAGCAGTGACATCCATAAATCTTGACAGAACTGAACGAGCAGCAAAACGACTGCATCGTAGAGTAAAGTTGAACCTCTTCAAATTTTTCCTTATAATTCCTCTAAGTTTTGCCTATTACCGTGGAATGTACCTGCAAGATAACGCAAATCTATAGATGATGTTTATATCTCAGTTACGTCTGTATATTAACTTCTCTCATGAGGGTGTTTTGAACGAATAATTTCAATATACTGATTTGTGTACTGAACGCTCTTTTCATTAAATACTAACTTAAAATCTAAATTGTATTCCTAAATCTTTAAAAACCTGCAAAATAGTTGTCGTTTAGCAGTCTGATGATAATCTAAGCGATATCTTCACACATCCCATAAAAAGCTTTTTCTAATACCACTGTTCCTAAAGATATTTTGGTTTATCATCACCATCACCCCTGCATATCGGTTCCACTTTGGATCAACTGCATTTCGAGCAACAGCTTTTAGGCTACTTTTCGACAGCTTTTGAACTGCTTCTCGGCTACTTTTGGATTGCCTGCTTATCAATCGCTTTTCGACTACTCTCTAACCAACGTTTTCGACTACTTTTGCTCCTTTCGCCTGCTTTTTGACTGCATTTTGACAGCTTTTCGACTGACTGGTTTTCAACAGTTTTTCGATTGCATTTGGATCGACTGCATTTCGACCGACACGACAGCTTGTAGATTGCTTTTCGACTACTACTTACTTTTTGACTGCTCTTCAACCAATTGCATTTCGACTACTTTTCGATCGACTCCTATCGACTACTTTTCGACTAACTGCTTTTCAATTGCATTTCGATTGATTTTTGTCTGCTATTTGAAAAAGTAGCTATTTTTCGGCTACTTTTTGATTATTTTTCTACTGCTATTGACTGCTTTTCAAATACCTGGTTTTGAACTACCGTTTAACTGTATTTCGACAACTTTTCCACTGATTGATTTTGGACTAATTTTCGGCGGCTTTCTACAGACTGCTTTTCGACTACCACGAAAGCCGTTTGCACAAGGAGCTACTGAAAAGAAATTGATCGGTGATTCGAATTATTAACCAGTTTACTTTGAGCCACTTCCTATGTAATCAAATGGGACGCCACCCACGGAACTACTAATTGCAGACTCGTCCGTGGTTCCAATTTGTAACCAATCACCAATCCAGTTCCAAGTGATCCACCAGGATGAATGACCAACAACTCAACCTTTTGTTACAAAAGTGGAAAAACGTCCGATTTTATATAATTTTCAACTTCCGGGCTTCTCTAAAAACATGAAATAGAGTGATCTGCTGCACGAGAATTGTTAAGTATAGTCAGAGCTGTGGTAGAGGCTGCACCATAACGTGGCCATCTACCACAGCAGTTGTATCACTTGGCATATAGCGAAGTCCTTCTCGTCTTCTCACAAAATTGTGAAAGACGCAAGCTGCTTTGATGACAAATTTCACAGCCTCAGATTCTCGATGGGGATTGAACCATTCAAAACAGCGAACTTCTCGCACGCCATCCTCGTCTCAACCTATAATTGAATATTATTTTCACGTTGTACACTATCCTTGACGGGTAGGGTCTCATCAGATATCGTGTCAAGAAGAATACTTCATCAACAATAAGGTAATAGGGAAAGGGACTATCGTTTGCATCGTATTGTAGTGATGAAGGGGGAGGGATTCCAAGTCCGTCATTTTGAATCACCGTTTCTTCCAGCATGACCTGTATTAATCATTGTGAAAGTACCATCGGAATAGCAGCAAGCTGTTAGTATTGAATAAAATGATTTGTAGTTGAAATTGGTAGAGCCAAGATTGGGTAGTTTCTCGATATGCACATGTTTTCCATTACTGGCACTTAAACAGTTCTCTAAATTCCAGAATGAATCAAATCCTTCGGCTATCTGTAACTGGTCTATTGTTGGAATAGCCATGTGTATCAAATCAGTATGAGTTGTCTCAGTCACAACGCGACCAACTGTGGATTCTCCTCTAGCGAAGTAGATAGCAATCGATGTAGATGTTCTACCATCTCCCAAATGTCTGTAGTGTAAACAGTCCCATTTATCTTTTTAGCTACTGAGTGCAAATACAGATGGAAGAAAATAAGACACTTGTTGACGGCTCTGCATCTACATATAACTAAACTGAACAAACTACAGCTTTTGTGGCTGATGAGTAGCTTCGTGCATGGAACTTGGTCACTAATGGGTCAATAACTGGTTAGTGACTCAAGATACCAACTAGTTTACTTCCTTTTCAGTAGTTCCGTGTGCAGACTGCCGAAGACGAGATCGTGTATTTCAGAAAGTATTACTGTTGAAATGATAAGTCTCACAATAGAAATATTGGTACGAATTCGATTCGATGTCATCTTTAGTTCCAGTTTTATCTACATTAGTCAAACTCGTTATGCATTGTAATTGATTGCGATGAAGAGGTTAAGCAGCTGAAGAAGGAAGAAAGCTTCTCTGAACATATCACATGTATTTGGATGAAAATTATCCGAATTATTTATTTATAATAAACATCGTACCCAAAACTCGAGATCGAGGGGAGTGTGTTTTGAGTTATGGTCTTTAAGAACATATTAAATTATACAAAAATTTAGAGGTCAAAATTTTGCACGATTATAATACTTTATGTTTTTTGTACTTCCAGAAAGAAGAAAACTTTTATTTATATTTGCTGTAATATGGAATTGATAATATATATTACAAATCCAAAACTAATTTAGAATAACCTATAATATTTTTATTAAACAGCTTTTTAAAGGAATCATTATTTATAATTTATAGCATCAGTTTTTTTTTTATCAAATGTTTAGAATTTATCTTATGATTCATAATGTGGGAAATCTCTGAGGTTATACCGGAAAATGATATGTTCAGTTGAGATAAATAAGTTGAACGTGTCGCTATAAAGTTATTGTTATAATACTATTAAATTTATTGGTAGTTTAATATAAATTTTAGTGATAGGTCAATTTTAAAAAATTTTGGAGATGTTTCGATTAATTGTTTTTTTAAAACTTTTGAATGTAATTATAGGAAATATAGTTCTATTTGACAACTACTACAATACAAATTATTGTGTTGATACAAATCAAACAATAGAGTCTGCATTAGTGTGGATGAAAAGTGATACACAATTTTATTCTACATATCAAAAAAACTATGTATGTCGAATTGATAATGAAGAAGAGTGTATAAGAAATAATGTACTATCAGGTGCTGTTTTAAGAAATTCTTTAAATTATGCTACTGGGTATTTACTTGATAATCGTTGGAATGGTAAGTCTTTTTCATTTCTTGAATGCTAAAAGAAAATTATTTCTTTTAAGATTTAAAACAACTTCGAACATATAAAGGTACCACGCATAATTTTTTAAATATTACGTCAGATACTTTCTCGTTTTCTTTTTCACTTCGTATTCCTGATAACGGTTATCTTTATATTTGTGACGATAATTTACCATGGGAAGCAAATAACTGTTATTTTTTCGTTCTTAACGGTTGGAGTAATAATACTCTTGCAATAAGACGATGCTATAAAAAAGAAATAAAGCCACATATTAATGATTATCCCTCAAATAGATGTCGTCCCATTCGAGAGCAATACAGCGTATGCATTAAAATAGCAAACTCTTTGATGAAGTTAATACGATTAATATCTTTTTCAGCAAAAGGGTATAGTTTCAAAATCGGAATGGAACCACTTTAAAATTGATGTAGTAAAAGATACCGTTTCGTTATATCACTATAAAAGGTTACAACCATTATTCACATTTATCGATAATGATCCTTTTATACCAACAAATGTAATCATTCGAAGTAAAGAAGAAGGTTTTTGGAAACTTCACAATTGTAGGTATAGAGTGTAATTTAGAGATTTATGTAACTACAAAATCGTTTTTTAAGATAATTTCCTTACTATAAAAGATAGAAGTATTTGGAAAGGTATTAAAGTATCCTCAATATGTTTAAAAGTTTATGTGAAACCATGCTTGAATTGTAATGTTCATTTAGCTATAACAGATAGATATGATGCAGTTCTAGCACAAAAACTTCTATTGCAGGTAACAAATGAAAAAATAAATATATATACAGTTAAATAATTTTGTTTTCAGGAGAATGATTGGCAATCAGTAATATTATCTTCAAATAAATCTGTTTATGGTAGTGAAATAAATTTGTTGATATCCGTTGGAAACATTAGTAATGAACATACTTTAATTGGAGACATTCTGGAGTGTTCCTCATCAAATTATATTAATTACATAGAGAGGTATAACAATGAGGCTTGTTGTCATTCAATAAAATCTGGTAGCAAAATATGTAGAGATAATATAACGCCAGCAGATAGAATTATTTCAAATCAAGGTAATTAAACTCAATACATTATTATCATTATTACTAGAAAAATTATTATATTTATTATACATTTTTAAGATGCATGTCCTTCAAACACGTTTGGAAATACTTGCCTTTCTTGTAATATTTTCAATAATTGTCGAAGATATGGCAAATATTATGAAATAACATCTCAAAATTACGTGCAATATAGTTGCTATGATGGATATACAGATTATGATTGTAGTATAGGTAAGCTTTTTTGTATTTGTTAATATATATAAATTTAATGATATTCGTAGCTTGTAAACAGGGGTATTACGGAAGAAGATGCCAAGAAAAATGTCACCCGTTTTGTCCCAATTGTGACAATGTATCCGGTTTATGTACAAGTTGTGTTTCATCGAGTTTAACCCCAGAATCTAATTGTACTGTGTGTAAGTATGGTTAATAAATATAACATTTTTATAATATAAGAATATGCTCTAACAAATAACTATTTGTAATTAATGCGTTAAGCGTACAGTAAAACCTCGGAATAATGGACTCATAGAAAAGATTATTTTTAGAAAAAAAAGCTTATTTAATGTTTTAACTAGTTCTAAAAACATCTATAAGATACTTAATCTAGATGCCGGAAGTAAAGGAAAGGCTTTCTTGTAAGCCTTTTTAAGACAGCAGAAAGTAACAACCGCTCCTTGTTACTTAATGTTCAATGAGAATGTTTAAGTTAGGAAACATGATTGACAATGTTCATGGGTGTGTGTCAAAAAGGTTGAAATTATTATTATTTTCAAGAAAATGTAACTATAAGTGTTAAGTTGCATTTCATAACTTTCACCCAAACAATGCCAAAAAATTGTCTCTCCCATCTTTGCATACAGATAATCTTCTACGAATATCATCAGTGTCTTAATTTGGAGAAACACCATTGTAGTCTTTAACCGTTACTGGACTATTCATGCATACAAGTATAATACTAGAAAGTATGTCGAAATGTTCAATTTGGTTATAGATGAAGTATATTATTATTAATTTTTGCAATCTTGAATCTTGGAATGACCACAAAAACTGGAAATTTCAGGGAAAACTATCAAACTATATTTTAAACAAAAATTCCACAAATTACAGATTTCAGACTTTTAGAAAGTTACAGGTTTCTTCTTGAAAATCACATATTCCAAACTCCAAGAAAAAGATTAGATTGAGCAGGTCATAAATTTCAAAATTTAAGTGTTGATTTAGACTTCCTAAATCATAGATTTTACACTTTTAAGGTTATAGAATCCAGACTTCCAAGTAGAAGTATAGTTCGATTGATCTTGAAAATATTAGGATCGTAGAGTAGAGATACAGCTGTTTGATAATAAGGCTGGAATTATCGCAGTTAACAGATTTTTGGCAAGAATAGAGATTCTAAATATCGAAAAGACGACTGGGAAGTGTGGATCAGGAATATTACATAACACAGATTTCAAAAATCTTGAAGACGTCTTGAGTAAATCTGCACATATCTTCTTTCTCAAGTCTGGAATCTGTGATGTGTGTTATCTTTTTGTAGATAATGTTGGTGGTGATCAGGTTGTACATAATGTACTTACTTATTGTGAACCAAATATTTCAAATTCCAAAAATATCACGTTACATAGGTTATGGACTCCATATATTTTGTATATTTTATTATAATATCCCGAAGAAGACCCAGAAAATACATCGAGGCTTAGTACTTATTGTTAGTTATTTTACTCGTTTACTAGGCAGACAATCGAAACTCAAGATTTATTGTACTATTATAAGACTTAGAACAAAATGTGAATGCGAAACATGGACCATGTCGACAGGAGTCGAAAACAAATTAAGAGGACCGGAATAAGACGGTACTGGAATGTGCAGAATAAGGATGAACCACAAACAGATTGCCTAATTTTCACGAAAACATTGTTATATTGAATAGAATACAGATAATATAAGTACGAAGGCTTTCACGGCCGGTGTTAATTGAAGTCGAAACAACTTAGAACTTGTTTCTGAAGAAGGTGCAACATGGCATCCGAAACGTCAAACATTTTTTCAAAAAACGCACGGTTTAACCTGAAAGTTTCTAGTTTTAGGTCTAGTGTTAGTTCTAGTGATAGTGGTAGTGTTAGTTTTAGTTTAAAGAATACAGATACCTTTCTCGCATACTGTCAAGAAGATTGGTATCCTCTCTGATTCTCCTTTGTCTAAGCGTCTTCCGTAAGATTGCCGAAAGATTTACGATTGCGTGGGTTAGGTTCCTGTCTTCTAGTCTATGTAGTTTTTTCTGCATCACTTTTTCGGTTAAGCTGAGGGCTAAAATAAAAGGGATGCAGAATTGACTCAGAAATCAGTATATATTTGAGAAGAAAAAAACATAATATTTATCTCAGTAGCATCAAGTAGCTGTTACGCAAATATACGATTTGGTCTGTGCTAGGTCAACATTTAGGGATGTTAATAGATAACAGATAACACTTACAATTAAATATATTTAATGCTTCAATTCCTATTCAATTAAGATCCGTTATATCGAGGTTTTACTGTATGCGGCCTTTTTGTTTTAGCTTTATATCCTGTATTAAAAAATGCGCCGGAAGTAAAATTTGTTGGGAATACGAATGTAACTATACGAATTGATTTTAATTACACTGGTTCTCAGCCAGCTACCAAGTATAATATTTATTTAGTAAGTTGAAAACTGATTCTAAAAAATGATTTGAGAATTCTTTTTGTAACAGAAAGATGTTAACGAAATTTCATGGAAACATATTGCTACCGAAAATTCAATACCAAAAGAAAATATTGACTGGTTTCATGATAAACTCTTACCAAATCGAACTTACCAATTAAAAATAAAATTGTTTACCTATTATGGGTATACTGAGGATAATGATACATTATTGAAAATAATCTCATTTACAACGACATGTAAAGGTTTGATAAACCATCGTTAACATAATATACAGAAATTTATAATCTTGTGTTTATAGTACTTTCAAAGAACGATATAAATATTACTCTTAGAGGAGCATCTGCGGATATCATTATAGAAAGAAGCTCAGAGTTATGCCCGCTTGATGGTGCAATGATAAGGTGTGGTGGTTATGAATTACCGCTAACAAATGAATATTGCACTTTAGACCCATGTAGTAATTCCAGCATAGAAATAATGTCTAAAAATGGCAATGTTTTGTACAGTTATATGGTTCAAACAGGAGAAAATCGTATGAAAAATTTTGTTTTAAAACACAAAATCAGTCAAAATTAGAATCGCCTAATTAAGATATAGTTAATAATAAACCGTTTTAGTTTAACAAAGAGTTGTTAAGAATTTTGTACAACATCAAATAGAGCTTATGCTAAATTGGCATATTTTCATACATATTTTTAATTTTGGCGAAATATTTTAATATTGACTGATAATCTTTATCACAACATATGTTACTGTAAAAGCCCAAATTACGGCAAATCCTAAGATTTTCCGGTGAAACCTAACATTTACCAACTCTGAATGGTAAAAGTCCGAAATGTTCTGTGATCATCGTTCATTTCGAACTTTTACCACCATCCACTCGGTATAGACGTATAGACACGTATAGACGTGTTGAGACGTGTTCGGTGCATGTTCTCGTACTCGTGGGTGGTCTGCAACCCCCACTACCCATACCACCTCCCTTCACCGTCCCCACTAGTCTCTAGCGACCTGTTCACACGTTTGTTTTGATTTCTGTTTATTTCGATGTCCGAAAGTGATGTGAGTGTCTTTACTGTCTAAATATATCTTATCAATCAAAATGAGTGTAAAAAAGGGGTTTGATGAAATAATGGACGAGCTTGTAGCAAGAAATACGATAATAATTTTTATATCGACAAGGACTAATACGCAAAATGTTTAGAAGAAGTAAAAACTGCAAAGAACATGAAAAGGAAGGAAACCGTTCATTATAGGCAATTAAAGCGTTATGATATTTTGACTATAGGCTGCGAAAAAAGCTTATTGCGCCGATGATGAAGGGAGGGAATGAAGAAATCAAGCATTATAAACATTCTCCAAGAATCGCATGTTGCTGTGTTTCACCCGAGTAATGCGGCTCGAGGTGGAAGTGCAATTATTATTAAAAGGAATGTTGACCACTATTTGAATAATACAATTAGTACTGAACAACACCAAACTATAGTGGTAAAAGTTCAAACTGCTAATGGCTTAATATCTGTAGAAGCAACGTACATACCACCGAGACATAATCCCAAGAGAGAAGTTTATTAGGAAATTCTACTACATCTTGACAACAAATTTATACTTGGAGGAAACTTTAATGCAAAACATATGTCTTGGGGTTCTCGCTTGACAAATACAAAAGGAAGAGAACTGAACCATGCAATAGAGGCCCTAAATTGTGAGGTGTTCTCCACTGGGAAGCCAACTTACTGGCCAACACATAGAAGTAAAATACCAGACCTGCCCTTTTTAACACGTACTAATAAAGTCACTAATTGGAAACTATTTCAACAAACATTAGATAATAAAATTCATCTTAATGCTCTTATGAAAACAAACGAAGACATTGACAATGAAGTAGAAAAGTTCTTAAAAGACATTCAAAACGCAGCCTGGGCCTCAACACCGATTTTAACACCAAAACCTAAATCTAATATTTATCCCAAATTCATTAGAGACAAAATTGCAGAAAAACGGAAAGCAAGAAAGAAATGGCAAATCAATAGAATTCCTAGTGATAAAACTAAATTAAATAAAATAACAGCCGAATTAAGAGCATTAACAGATGGCCACAAAGATAATAATATTCAAAATTACTTAAAAGACCTTACTGACGATGCCAGTACTGATCATTCTCTGTGGAAGGCAACAAGAAAGCTTAAACTTCCAAAAACACACACCTCCAATTCGAAATAATTGTGGAAATTGGGCTAAGAGCAATCAAGAAAAAGTTAATTTGTTTGCTGAACATCTGAAAGAAACTTTTACATCAGACAACTATGCTAAATAGTGTCCCTAACGTAATTCAAAGTGATCAGCAGAGTAATATACCATGTGTAAGAATGAAAGAGCTGTATTATGAAATACAAAAACTAAATATAAAGAAATCAGTAGGCTGTGACCTAATTAATGGAGAAACATGTACCAAAACGGGGGATTACAAACCTATTACACATAATTAATGCTGTTTTTAAACAGAAATACTTCCCAAGCATATGGAAAGTTGCTGAAATAATAATGATACCAAAACCTGGTAAACCCATAACAGATGTTACATCATATTATAGGCCAATCTCATTATTACCCTTACTATCAAAACTGCTTGAAAAGTTACTATTCAAAAGACTAAAACCTACCATAGAAGAGAAAGCCCTAATACCAACACATCAATTTGGGTTTCGGAATACACATGCAACAATAGACCAAGTGCATAGAATAATGAATACTATCGAAATAGCAATGGAAGAAAATAAAATCTGCTCCGCTGTATTTCTGGATGTTGCACAAGCTTTCGACAAAGTCTGGTTAGATGGATTAAATTACAAACTAGACCAAATACTACCATCAACGTATAGTCAACTATTAAAATCGTATCTTTCTGATCGATATTTTAGAGTAAAATACGAAAAGGCTTATTCACCGCTACATGAAATACGAGCCGGAGTTCCTCAAGGAAGTGTGCTTGGCCCAACACTGTACTTACTCTACACATTCGACCTTCCTCAGGTATCAAAAACTTTAACAGCTACATTCACAGATGACACAGCGATCTTGGCTGTTGCAGAAAATGAAGTAGTTGCAGCAAATAAGTCTCAATGAAACTAAAACTAAATACAAATAAATCGACATACATAAACTTTACTTATAAGAAAGTAAATTATGTCCCAGTACACATAAATGGCAATGCAGTCCATTACGTCGACACCGCAAAATATATTGGTATGACGCTGGATGCCAAACTCAAATGGAAAGCTCACGGCAAAACTTGAATCTTGATATCAAATTGCTTATTGGCAGAAAATCAACGCTATCACTAAGTAACAAGTTGCTAATATACAAGCAAGTATTAAAACCAGAATGGACATACGGAATCCAACTGTGGGGTTGTACCTGCAAGACAAATGCAAGTCTGATTCAAAGATTCCAGAACAAAGTACTAAGGTGCATAGTGAATACACCCTGGTATATAAGAAACACTGACCTCCATCGCGACTTGAAATCATCGCATCTAAACATGAGAAGAGAATGTCCTGCGTCGTCTTCAGAGGATGAAGCCGTTCGATTTAGTGACCTAGTGCCTTAGTCGATTCAAACGCGAGCAATAGTGCGGAATTATAACAAAAACAATAATACCCTAAACGTGTGTTCCGCGTATCGCAGTGTGCGCGGTTTTGTGTTTTGGTCTTAAAACGATAAAAATATGACAATATTTATCAATTATGGGTAAAGCTGACTGGACCACTGGGAAAAGCTGCAAAATATTATCTAGTTTAATTTGGTGTTAAAAATAAGTAACTAATTAGTATGTATTTACAAGGAGTTATACAATTGTGCTATGCATAATATAATTGCTGTGTGCAGGTGGAAGAACAAGGATGCTTAAGAAATGTAACTACAAGTATAAAAATGTAACGGTTGAGGCTATTATGACATATGCTATGCCAACCTTGTCAAAAAAAAAAGCAGAAGACTTTGAGAAAGGGCATTGTCATCAAGCCTATACTTCATAGTGAAATGTGCTCACTTAATTATATTGTAATAAATTATTAAAATAAATGATTAAGAAATATATTTATTGTTTTATTCTCAAAACCAACAAACTGTTATTGGTAAAATCCAGAAAAATTATTTCTTGTTTAAAAGATCCTCACATTTACCAACTCATGTTGGTAAATCTTAAGATTTATTAGTTACACCTAAGATTTGCCGTAATTCGGGCTTTTACAGTAACATATATTTTAAATAAAACATTTATATAAAATTTTTGTTAGACCAAATCATACAATGTCTAACAACGTCCGAAACGGATACAACCAGTACTATCAAGTGGATAAATAATTCGGATATAACAACGTACATAGTGCAATATAATGTATAAAACTCAATTAATCATTCGACTGTCTAATATTATTTATATTTTCTTTCACACCATAGCTTATCGGATCTATATATAAAGAATGTATAAATATAAATCCACCGGAAACACAACAAATTACAACTAATATGCCGGAAATTACATTAGTAAATTTAAGACCATATTCAACATACGAACTTTCCATTATATCTTTCAATTCTAAAGATACATTGCGAAAAAAAGTAATCGATACAAAACCAATACGTAATGTATATTAATTAATGAGAAAACACATAATTTTTGTATTATTACATTTTAGAATACATTAGTCCTAATGAACTGTCTGATTTATCATTTAATCAAATAAACAGAGATCTTAGAATAATATCAAGAATTAATTGTAATTACATAAAGGGCCCTTTACATGTGTTTATTAAAATTCAATGTGTAAGTGAATGGTGTTATAATAAAACAAACAAACTTGAAGGAATTCATGATGAGAACAATATTGATTTAAATTTTATATTTACTGTGGATGGATTGACAAAATACAATGTGTTGAGAACGATTAAAAGAGGCAATTTCGAAAATGTAACGCATTATGATCATATTACAAACGGAACAGGTATTTGATTTAAATCAGTAATATCTTTATTTATAATTTGTGAAATAAATCAAAAACGTTTGTGTTTAACAGCCCCAGGACCTGTCTTAAATTTAGATATATACAGCAAAACCGAAAATAGTTTATATTTGAGATGTAAACCACCAAATCCACCAATGGGAAAATTGCATCATTACGAAATCACCTCCTATAGAAGTTATGCATATAAATACACCACGGTTTTAAATTACAATATATTGCCTTGTACACTATGGAATAACTATCACTGCATTGAATTAAATGAACTATCTGAAAACAAGTATTACGACATAAAAGTTAGTACAAAGTGAAATAAAAAATAATGCATTGCTAAATATTTACTTAAATACACATCAAAGAAATTATTCTTTTATTTTCATAGGTAATTCCTGTAAATGAACCAAACCTTCAAGGCGATTCAACAGTAATTATAGGAATAACTACACAAGAAAGTACATCAAAGATACAATAAAAATGGTACTAAGTAATCGGTATTAAAAAGAAATTTCATTTTAGAACCAGAAAATCCTCAATTTGTTTCATTAATCTGGGATGAAAATAATCTTCTTCGTATCGAATTTCCACATCCAAATAAAACAAACGGACAGCTTGAAGGATTTTCTGTATATGTGAATAGTAACAAAATGGGTAGTAAAAATATTAAAAACATGGAGGAACGGTTCTATTCATACGAGGTAATAAGTAATATATTAAAATACACACTACATCATTGTAAAATTTGAACTAATAATTTAGAATAATATATAACAAATCTAAGCTACTATAATGATAGTTTAAATCTATTGAAAGATATAGATTGCAGTAAAAGAAGAATTGTTCAATATACTAACGTACACTCTTAGTAACAAAGCTTCAAAAAGGACAATTTTAAGAAAGTTTATTGTTCATGTCATCGGAGGAGTTTACACAATAGTCTCAGCAACGGTTGTACTTCCATATACAACAATTCCCAGATTGACAGCAATACCAATTTTCGAGGGTCTTAATACATTTAGACATATAAATATAAACTATTTGATTAAAGGAGCTGAAAGTCTAAAATCGCTTATCAATGCACAACCTCTATATGTCTGCAAATGAGATTCCTTGACTGTACTTCTCTGAAGTAATGGAAGCTGCTGCGTACTTATAGGCACAATACAATTTCTATCCAATGGGGTGAATTCCTTTTCCTTGTACTGTCTTGACAGTGTCAAGTCGAAGAAATGCCAATTCAAAACAGTGGAAGCTCATATTTTTGTCCCATGCTACACCTTGAAGGTTGTTATGATGATTCCTCAGATATGTAATTGCGATTGGCTAACATTTTGTCCAATTTCCACAAATCAGTGGATGATCTTGCTGTATGTCATTATATAACGGAATTTATACGGCCAATTTGAACTGCTAAATTAACGTGGTTTCACCGCGGATCTTTAGGTGTAGTATTACAAATGGTCAATCTTCATTGGAACCTACAAAGCATCCGATTATATCCTTTAAAATCTATTACTTTTACATAGTCTATTCTTGAATGAGCTCTTGCTTATAAAGCTCGTTTAGCTGATTTGATTTGCAAATACAACAATAACATCTGAGTCTTGCTACTCAGGTACCTACCTACCATCGATTCTAATCTCTATTTCCTTTGGGATCGCCCTGTCTTATTTCTGTTCCACTGCTGAATTTTGACCCCAAGATTCTAGTTTTATTACTCCTATGTTATTTGTGTATATCTCCTTAAACAACTAAATATGTTTCCGAGACGTTTGCTGTGCAGTAGAAGGTTTTACTAAAATCTATAAAGATTATGCACAAGAGAAAATTATTCAACAGCTTTTTCGATAATCTGGTATATGACTTGGAGATAATCTGAAGATAATTTTTTCTTTTGAAAACATCATGATGATAATCATCGCCTCCACCTAAATGTATAAATATGAGGGTGTCAGATTCAACATGTTTTCTATGGTTGTTATATAAAATTCTATAGTGCTAGGATAGGTGGATTTTTGGCCAAACTAAGTCCAGAAAATCACGTTGACTGAAACCAAGTTACACTTTTTTTAACGCTACTTACTAAATATGAGACTTCCAGTTTAGTTTATTATCTAACGTAATACCCAGATATCTAATTTCGTTGGACACTGATAATTGACTATTGAATGAATAAATACCGCATGGCGTACTCCTCAGGGTGTGTCCAAACATGCTGCCACGTTGCCACAAAGTTGCGCGCAGCAGAATTGTGTCTTACAAACGCCGCGCACTTGGCTTGCTACGTTTGGACACACTTTTGTAGTCCAAATCCTCTCAGCCATAATATTATCTTTGCAATATATGGAAGGCCAACTACATTGGTATAAAGCATCGTCTACAAACCTTGAAAGTTAGATTTAAATAAATTTTTTGTAACTATTTAATTTAACAAATTTTCTATACGATTTAATTTCTATATTTAATTAATTTTTAGTTAAAAGATTTACCACCAGCCAAAAATTTAACAATTACTGTTAAAGTGTTTAATGGAAGAAGTGGCTCAGATGGCACTACAAATTTTACAACCACCCCTCCTCCTATGCCACATTTAAATACGAAACAAGTTGTTATAGAACCTAACTTAACAAATGTTACTATACGTTTACCCAGAATTGATAAACATGAAAATGTATTATGGTATTTTCTTTCAATTTTTATTAATAAATTAATTTAACCATTAATTTTTCTTTTTTAGTTTTATGGCAATAATCGTAACAAAACTTGCATCATCTCGACATCGTTCCTTCGATAACTTCGAGAAAGAGGATCAACAAATTTTGAATGAAATCGGAATTTCTCAGGATTCTTTCAGTTGGGTTGCATGGAAAAAATATATTTCGGAAATAGATGATGTTAATTTAATCATAATAGGAGATGATACAACGAATAGAGCACTTCTTCCAAATACGGAGTATAACATTACCATTTATATTAATAATATATTTTACGACAAAAGTACTTTTTTCGCCTCATCATTTGTAACTAAAACATTAAATTATCATGAATCGGGGTCAAACTTACTTCTACTTCTTATACTTTTACTATTACCGTTATTAGCTATCGCTTTCTTTCTATTTTTGAGGTATTTTATGATTAATAGATGTTATTTATTTCTTTTTGGATAAAAAATCTGTTTTAGATCTAAAGGTATACGTTTAAATATGCCACTAATAAACAATTTTAGAAGACAAAATGTATCTACCAATAATAATTCAAGTTCGCGCTCTGATGCCCAACTTTTAGTACCCATTAAATTAAAACCTAAACCAATGGTAAAAGATTAAATAAACCCCTAATTTAGTTTAATTTTGTAAAAGATTTGGGGGTGATGAATCTACACGATTAATTATTTTTTTAGATTTACCAAAATATGGAGGATATTTTAGAAGAAAATAAGTTTTCAAAGCCAGTTCGAATTCCAGATTTAGAAAATTATATAAAAGAATCTTTAAATAACGGGGAGTTTGAAAGACAACACGCGGTTTGATTCAATTTTTTTAAACTTATTTTTTTCATAATTAATGTCTTTTTGCAGCTATTCCCCAGAGGTCAAACAAAACCATGGGATTTCGGTACAAAACCCGAAAATAAATCCAAAAATCGTTATGTTAATCTCGCTGCTTGTAAGTTTTTCTTATTCCTTTTTTAACAAAAAAGAATTCATTCTTTAATTCATTTTAAGATGATCATTCCAGAGTGCGATTAAAAATTATTAATTCAGATGAAAATTCTGAATACATAAATGCTAATTACATTGATGTAAGATTCAAAAAATTATCTAAATTACTCGATTAATTAATTAAATTAATTTTTTTAGGGGTATAATTGTGAAAAAGCTTTTATAGCTACCCAAGGTCCAAAAGTCAACACATTAAACGACTTTTGGAGAATGATTTGGCAAGAACAAGTTGAATTTATCGTTATGATAGCAAATCTTATCGAAGGTGGAAAGAAAAAAGTCGCGAAATATTGGCCCGAAATAAACGAAAATTTAAGTTTTGAAAATATTTCGGTTAAATATGTCGCTTCTACGGTTTTTGCTAATCACGAGGAGAGAATTTTTAAAGTTCAATTACAAGGGGAACACAGAATGGTGAGAAAATTAAATTTAAAAACAAATTAAGAAAATTTGAATCAAAACTTCACCATTACCTTAAACCTCCAAGCTTCCAAATCAAGAGACAATTACTTTTCCATTTCATCAGGAGATATAGTAGCAATTTTAGTAACTTTTCTTCTAAATTTGTTAAGTATTCGTCAATTATTTGAAGTGATATAAGAAAGTGTTGTTTACCAATTGAAACATTCCAAATCATCTTCAACAGTTTTTTCTTTCATTTTGTTGGTGGATGGGAATATTTTCTTCTTTGCCTCGCATGGTAAACTTCCAAATATTAAGTTACTGAAATATATCAACCAGATATTGTAATCTGGCAGTCCAAAATTTACAACGCAAGAGGTTACAAAAATGAAATAAAGTTGTTTCATCTGTTCAAACAACGCAACAAGTTCTTATCGTAGTTGTAGTATACCAGTAGTACTTTTCCTCTTGACCACCATCACACCTCAATATGCAAAAGCAGCCGAGTATGTAGGGTACTTTTAATTTTTCTCCTAATGATTTTGCTATTTTGCCATCAAGGCTTCCAATTTAGTTTATTATCTAACGGAATCTCCAGATATCTAAATCCATTGGATAATGTTAATCCAATGGAGTCGAGTATTGACTGAAAAAGCAGTGAATTACAATAACATTTTTTCATGGAAAACTGCCATTTTTCATGGTAGTTAATCAAAATGTTAAAAACGTCTTCACATTTTGTAGACACACTTAATTATTTTCAAAAAAAGGAACTGATTTGCTTTTTGATGTTCCTTGCTAAAACGAACGAACGCTATTAGTTTGCAAAATTTGAGTTTTGAAATTTATTACGCATACTTTTTTGTCGGTACCACAAGACATTTCTATGCAAACTGTAACACAAGGCAGGAATCTTGCTTATTTTCATGTCTGCTTCATTTCTTAGCATTGTCATGACCACTTGTTTGCACGTAATAATTATAAAGTATGGTATGGACCTAAGGTATGGGAGTATTTTTTTACGATATTGCATATTCATATTTATTGCGATCAACTGTGAGACTTTATAAGATAAAACAGTCATCACACTTACATACGACAACAATAATGTGTTGTTTTTGTTAAGCATACCGACAAAGCATAATTTTCACTTCCAGTGCAAGTCAATCCGAAGCTTAAATAATTTCTGTTATATTTGCGTGTAGAGCGAAATTTTATTTGCACTTTGTTTCCAGAATTAAATTCTTTGATATCACGTTTTTTTGATAAATATATCAATTTTGTTTGATAACATTTATATCAAAATAAGAAATATCCACCAACAAACATCAACTTGTAATTCACTCAAAGTAAGCAAAATACAACAAGAATACAACAACCGTTACCAACACCAGATAGACACATCCGCGTGACTTCCCTACCATTTTAGTATGGTTAGGTTTTCCCAGATAGTGTTAATAGGTACTTTTTTATAGAGAGAAGTTTAGCACGAAAACATTACTTGAATTTTGTATGGTTATTTTAAACGAAAAGTTTGCTAAATGTATTCGAAAATCTTCTAGGGCACACAAATACATCCCAGCATACACAGTGACAACCACTATACCTGAACAAGAACCTATACCTGATATAAAATGACTTTCGGGTTGCCATGTATTGCAACCTTACTTAAAGAATGATTTAAGATATCTAGCTTTACGACCAAAGAATATTATTACCAGTTTTATTATACTGATACCTTTCGATGAAGGGATTCGCTTGAAGTGTTCTGATATTTTATTCAACTGTTTGAAATCGATTGGGAAATTATTGAATGAAACTGGAATATAAATTGGACAGGTTTGGATATAAATTGATTTCTTTATATAGAAAGAGTTCCAGACAACGTTCTCTGTCACGATGCAGAGTGTCAGAGCAGTGCCTTCTATAGTTGCAATCATGATGTCATCCGATAAAGTACCTAAACTTCACGTTTTAAGTGAAAACAGCTATTTGTAGAAACGCACCTTGCTTAACAATAGCTCTTTACAATCTCGTGCACTATCCAGGCGTTTAAGGAAGGAAAACAAACTTTAAACGAATTTGGCATCATCTCCACACAAGCATCTTGACCCACCTTGCTACATGTTATCTTGTGTATGGTGGAATCTTCTTGCGTGGAAGGAGGCTACATTTTTCCTACCATAAGACTTGGAATTATAACGTCCTTGGTAAACTTCAATGAAGATTCAAAAATAGCTCACACTCGATATCCGTTAACTTACTCTTCTCTACCATTGTGTTAACTTTAAAAACACTGACATGGGGTACGCCTAATTTTATGTCATCGCAGGAGAGTAAGCAGTAAAGTAATAACAGCAAGCAATGTAGCTCTTGCCTATCTTATTTGGAAAGCCCTCCTTCCGTTGAGACTACTTTGAGGCTTTGTCGCCCAATACTCGTATCATACTCGGATTCCAAGTACAACTTCGTCCTTTGTTCCGTAGTGCATGGGCAACTTTCGTCAAGATCGGTTTTAAAGAGGTGAGAATGAAGAAGTTGGAGTTTGCGTAAAGTTCACTTAATGTAAATTGAATATATTCGAATGTCCTCTTTTTTGCCATTCATCCGCACTTGTTTACTACCATTCATCCAATTCAACATCATTATCATTCTTAGATATCCTTTTTGATCAGTTCATCATTTTCATGGAGTTCATGCGTAGAAGTAATAATTTGAAGCAAGGCATTAATTGCTCCTTGTTTTCCCTCTTGTTGGTTTTCCCCAATTTAGGTGTATGACCACCCTAAATTCCAGTCCATATTCTACCATAATGGATTTAGTTATTTCTGTTGCTATGCGGTATACAGTATCATTATGGCCAATTATTAACCAGAATTCGCTACTGCAGGGGCAAAAGGTCATAAGACTATTTTTTTTTATTTTGGGTTTTTTTTTCTTTTTTTCCATTTTTTTCACCTTGAGGATTTCAATTTTGCTTCAACGTTCTTTTTACAAAAAAATAGACTTATGACCTTTTGCCCCGGCAGTAGCGAATTATCAGCAAGTCCGCGTAAACATGGTGTACATCTTCCATTTTCCTTCAACACTTTATCATTCTACTTTGAAAATGTTATACAAAAATAATTTTAAAATCTTTAAACATTACGATGTTGTAGATAACCTTTAATCATTTTTATCAGTCTACCACGTGCACCATATTAAGATGCTAACAGGATTCATCCATCTGAAAAATTTATTGTTATTATATCTACATTTTCCAATATCAAATTCGTAACATTTATATTTTATTAATTTTACGCGTCTTTCCATGCATTTTCAAAATTTTGGAAATTATGTACTTCTATGAGAGATTTTTTAACGTTCTTAACATCTTTTTTGAATAATAGCCATGTTCTAACTTCTCTATCTCTTCTCTAACTAATCTTCAATACAGCAGCACTCCTTTGGCAAATGAAGATATTGCGTCAACCACACACGAACCTGCTTGTTTAGTTTCAAATTTAAGAAAATTAGTAATTATCTTAATAATATCTGCTGGGATATTATTATGTATTACCATCAAAATATAACTAAACACTTTGTTCGTCGTTCATGTTCTTTCATCCAGGGGAATCCCGCAACGTAGTGACTTTAATCAAAGAAGAGAAAAAGTCGCACAAGAAATAGAAGCAATCAGTTAGCATTCAGACAAGCATTATCAAGGATGTACAAAGTTCTACATATATAATTCCCGTATTCTTAATCATCGCTCTGAAATATGAAGAGATGTGGTTGTAAAAAAAAAGAATAATCTCATTTCAATTATACTTTTAGATCAAACAATTTCATTTTACTTCTTGGCCAGATCACGGTGTTCCGATGTATGCACAAAGTTTAGCGCCGTTCTTAAAAAAGATTTTAGCACTTCCCCAAGAAACAGCGCCAATCGTTGTTCATTGCAGGTAATAAAATTACTTTAAAACAAAAATTGACAAAGTTGACTAATTCTTTTTTAGTGCTGGTGTCGGTCGTACTGGCACGCTTATTTTGGCAGATATTTGTTTAAGAATGGCTGCAAAACAAGGTTATGTGGACGTATTATATCATCAATACAAATTACGGGAGCAGCGGCCGAATATGGTGGATAACGTTGAACAATACAAATTGGTTCATCTTCTTTTATTGCATTCTTTAATCGCTCCGGAAACTGGAATCGTTTGTACAGAAAACATGAATATAGTAGTTGAGGAAGTTTTAGCGTCGAAAGAAGTTATGGAGCAAATGAAATATTTAGAGGATAGTAGTTGGCAAGAAGAAGCAATGCATACAACTGCCACAAAAGTTACTCTTCCGATTGTTAATGAAAAAAATCGATTTATGAATATTATACCAGGTCAAAAACATGATTTTTTGAAATATTATTTTAAATACATTATTTTTTTTGTAGATGAATATTCAAGAATAATTTTAACAGCTTATCCATCAACTGATGAATCATCTATGTATATCAATGCAGTAACCGTAAACGGTTTTCAAGCCAAAGGAAAGTTTATTGTTACACAATATCCATTAAAAAACACCGTTGGGGATTTTTGGAGGCTTATATTAGAACAAGAATTAACTATGATTGTTTGTTTAAACGAATTATGTTTAAATGATGACGTAAATATTATTATTATTACAAAATTATCTTGTCTTATATATTCTTTGTAGATTTCAGCAGTTTTTTTCCCAACAAAACCTAACGAGACTTTAACTCCCGTTCCATTTTTAAACATTAATTTCGTCTCAGTAAATGACACCGACATTTTACATATTTACACTTTAAATTTAGTTAATTTAAAAAATGTATTTATTCCGAATTTTTTCGTCTTTTATTTCTACTTTAATATTTACATTTTAGAAGGGAACCCCTCAAAAAATTACCTTAATCCATCTCAAAAAGTGGACTTATCAACAAGTATGTCCAGATAGTCCAACACTTTTGGTATCTCTTTTTGAGGAAATGAACCGTTATGGAAAACAAGCGGATCAAATCTTAATCAGTTGCTAGTAAATTACAATTATAAATCAAAATCAATTTTATAACTTTCATTTTCAGTGATGGTGTAAGATCGTGTGGATTATATACCGCGTTATGTTTTCTTATTGATAAAATGAAACTCGAACAAATTTGTGATGTTTGTCTTGCTGTGAGGACTGTAAGATACAGTAGAAAAGAATTTGTTCGCGAACTGGAACAATTCCGATTTTTGTATTTGTGTGGGTTGGAGTATGTAAAAAGATTTGAAATGTATTCAAATTTTAGATTATAATTTATTTCTGGGTTATAATTAATATAGGTTAAGATAGATTGAAATATGCATATATATATTTTTGTACAAGCCTTCTTGAAAATCAAAAATAAAAATTAAATAAACTTACACCTCTACATTTTCCTTTCTATATACACTTTCATGTTCATCTAAAAAATCTAAACGGACAGCACAGAAATAAAAATATTTTAAATTTTTAAGGATTTCTAATCCTAATAGTTAAAAATTGCTACTAAAAAAATTAAAGAAAAATTGTTGGGACAGGTATTTTAAATCTTAACGTGCCAATTGAATAATAAGAGCAGCGCACATTTCAAAAAATTCCATTGTATGATGACCACTGGTTTTTAAAGGAGCTGTTACCTGTTGACCCATTTGTACTGGAGTTGCGACCGAAGCCAAAGCGGCTGAGTTTTGCTCGGATTCTTCATTACTTAAACTTTTAAAATCCAATAAATAATTTTTATTATCAACCTAAAAAAAGTACTTTTCATAATAATATAATAATTAATTCACAGAAGATTTTTTTGAGGTTAAGTAACATTATAGTGTCAATTTGGAAAACACTTGGTCGACCAGTTTAGATATCTTTCAAATTTAAAAGCTGATAAAAAAATAGAGCTAAAGGCACAACGAACCGATCTTTTTAAATCAAGACATGTAGAACATTTCCTTTTGGAAATCTACAACCGATTCAGGCTAGAACAAAATAAAATTATCCTAACAAAGGTTCAGAAGGACCTAATGTGCCAGTAGTCGACCGGTATTTCTTCAGTCAGTTTATTTTTTATCAATTTTTCAGTAAATTGATTTATAAAAATCAATGTTTTTTTTATTTGGTCTTGAAAATAACATATGGTCATTAACAATAATTACTTTATTCAGGAATAATAAAAACTAAACTATAACATCAAAAACTATAAACATAACAAATGAACTTACAAAAATGGCATTGTCTTAGGTGACTTGTCGAACTCACAAACCATACTGTACAAAGTAACGGAATCTTCACAACTACTGAAGAAGTTAATTGAATTTATGACAATATTAGGAGCAGAAGAAACACTTATAATTCTTAAATTGTACTTCTTCATAACTAACATAAGTCCTATGAATTCCATACACATTAGGTGGTATCATCTTGTGCACACATGTCATTACAGCCAATATTCTTCATTTCATCTTCTTCGACATGGCTAATAAACTCTTCATCACGTTCAGAGCATTTTATGGCTTTTCTGCACTTTTTGTTAATTTCTCCCTTTTTTTCATCATCGCATACCATTTTCTTTTTTTTTTCAATAGATTCTTTTTTTCTCTGCCTTTACAGACCTTTCTTCCAATTTTATGTTCTCTTTTTCTTGTTTTCTTTATTTTTTAAATATTTCCTATATGCTACTGAAGAAATAGCTGAGGGTAACTTTTCTTTATTTTTTTGTGTTAGTACAAATAGGTGCAAGTATAAGTGACTTTCAAAGTTCGTCAAATTTAGTAAAGGCATTGGCTGATTCGAACTTTGAGGCTGATTATCGTTAATTTTATCGATATTCGGATTTCATCAGCAACAATATCTTCTTCAAATTCAACAAAATTACTTCCGCACGTTGGTTTAAAACTTCTTCGGAAATTAAGGTTAATGCTCCATAAGTCTGTATAATATATGTTTCCACTGTCGCTAGTGGATTCTCACAAATTGTCTAAGACAGTACTAATTTTATCTGCATTGATATTTTTCAGTTTCAATGGTTCTCTAAAATGAGAAAGAACCTTTTTTGTGGTATTTAAATCTTCCATGGTAATCGAACTGATGGCTCTCAATGTTGTATTTTCTAATCGATTCTGAACGCATATTGTAAAATCTACGGCATTCAGATCTAGCGAAAAAAGACTACATCGCTTAAAGCCATTTCTAATACTTTCTGGCAAAGTAGACAAACTTCAGCATTCGTCCAATAAAAGGCAAAAATCAGTTTTTGTTAATGTTTTGATTAGATTTTTATTTTGCCATTCACGAACAGTCGCCTTCCAATCAGCTTTTAAAGGCTTAAATACACTCACATCAGCTGGCAGCATGATATGGGTTGTATTGGGAGGCAAAGCACACAAAATTATATTATATCACGCCATTTGATTAGGTGATACAATAAATGCGATGTGTGTCCATCAACGAATAATATAACAGGGCGTGGCACAACATTTTCCTTCAACCACGTATCGACACCATTATCCACATATTTGTAAAAAATATGACTTTTGATCCAGCCACAGACTTCCTTAGAGCAGCTGGAGGCCGAACATATAGAAAAATTACCATAGGATATAATGTTTGACCTTTCGTAGTCTCCTCATAGTCTCCTTTTCATTGACGTTTTTTATTTGATATACAGTACAAGCGCGCTAACATGAACACTCGTTAGTTTGAACAGCTGGATAACATGAACAGATTTTTCGCCCCAACATTTTGTACTGACAGCCGTATAGTGTGAACAACGTTTGCCTCTCGATAGTATGAATACGTGTTTATTGACTGTTAACTAGTTACCCACCAAAAGAGAAGCTAAGAACAGCCGATGGAATGATATTCGTAATATTCATGCCACCCAATGTCACACCATTAATACAACCGCTAGATCAGAACGTTTTAAAATTAACAAAACTTTACTATAGGAAAAGCCTTTTAAGTTCAATTGTAGGAAAAAGTGGTCAATTAACAGAGAGTCTGAAACTTTTAACAATACGGGATGCTATAATGCATCTGACGATTGCGTGGAATAAACTTAATCCTGATATAGTTCGTAAATGTTGGAATAACATTTTGAAGTGTAACGAACCGGACGAAGATGATATTCCCCTATCGGCAATTGTGAAGCAAATTAATGCCGCTAAAGAGATTGACTACAATGAAGCACTTAAGGACACAGTTACACTACTTAGGCCCACCTCTTGATAAATTTAACCGATAGATAAATTGGCGCTCTTAGCCAATGAGAGCGCTTAAAACCGTTGTAACCATGGTAATTATTTATCGGATAAATTTATCAAGAGGTGGTAAAAGTGGGCCTTAATGAAATAAATTATGGTAACACATGTAAAGACATAGAAATATGGAATGAAGATCGTCAAGATGGATCTGAAATCGAAATTGTCGACGATGAAATTCCTGAGGATGAGGAAGCAGAATTAAATCCTCAGCATGTTTCACATGCTGCTGCTGCAAAAGCTTTGGGTTTAGCAGTGCAATGGGCTCAAGAAATTAATCTTGACATAAGTAAAAATTTATTGCTTCAAAATATATTAGAAGAGGCTGTCCTATTCAGTCTAAAAAGATTCAGAAAAAAATTACACATTTTTTCAGACCTAAAATAAATATGTAATACGGTTGTACATACATGTGCAACTTTTTTCTTTCTTAAGGAGATACATAGATATTTACTTTTTGTTATTTTCTTAATAAATGTTTATTTCGTTATACATATTATGTATGTTAACTTTCTTTGTGAAATAAAGAGTTTTTGATTATGTATTTTTATGTACCTTCAATTGTATGAACACCCCTATAACATGAATAGTCCTTGGTATTTTTGCGTTCACACTATCGAGCTTGTACTATACATTTTTGGTGCCAAAACCTTCCCGAATTTTGCACAAATGGAAAACCAGGTTTCATCATCATTCAACCCCGACGAGGGTCTTCAAAAATTTCTTTGCAATTGCTTTCCTTTAAGAAGTGGTTCAATTCTCTGAACCATTTTCGTATTGCGTTTCCTCTGTAATTAATTGCGCGTGATTTTGACAGCACTTCGGACCCCGAAAGACAATATTTTGTGGTTTAAGGCATTATTTAAACCACTTCTCCCCAGGCCTTACTTACTTATTAGTATCTTTTTTAATTTTGTTGACAACAATTCTCTTTTCTTTACAAGTGAGCTTGTGAAAACGACCTGTTCAGCGTTGTTGAAACAATTGTTTGAAGATTCGCTTCAATAATATTTTTTACGGTCGAATACGACCTTTTCACACATTTACCAATATCTCGAATAGATTTGCCTTCTTTACATAAGCTTATAATAATTTTTCTAGCTTCTAATTAATTAAAAAAAAAATATTCGCTTGGTTTGAAAAAACATAATTAACGACGCATGCGTAACTGACCTAAAAAAACTTAGTGTATTTTGTTTTATTAAAACTACCTGAGCGAATACTTTTTGGAGTGCAATATTATTATTATTGTGAAATTGTTAGAACAATTTTTCTTACTAATTTCTTATAAGGACATTACAACATCTATTTGTATTATAATAAATCTTTTCCATAGTAATTTATTTTATTTCTATCAAACTAATAGTGCGAAACGTGCGAATACGCATGGTGAGCAAATAGTTTTTGGAGTACTGTAATTGCAGATGGTCGACTACTGGCACCAGTCGACCTTAGGCGCGTTTACCCTAAAGAAACCTTATTAAACTCATTTTTAATATTTGTTAGGTGTTTGTTTAAACATTTGTAATTAACAAAAGTAAAATCTACCTGAATTCAAACTAATATTAACATACTTAACCTTCCACTTTTTAATTTCGCACTAACGCCATCTTTGGTTAGCTAGCTTAAATGACAATATTTAAATGAATTCCATATTGTTAAACATAACCTCAATTTTTAATGTTTGAATAAAACATTTCTTAAATGTATTTTTACCTGATATAATTGTAAAGACATCATAGCATATCTATCATGCAACTTATTTCTTTCCCTAACCCTCACATGATACGGATTAATAACTTTCCATTCGAAATTCAAATGTTTCATTGCTCTATAAACCTCCATCATAATATCATTTGGTTTACTTTGGGAACGTATTCCCAAGTGCCATTTAGCCCTTTTAACTAATAAACAAAAAAGATTAAATACCTTTTATAATGCATCATTTAAATTACCTCTTCCACGTTCAGTTGCGCCAATTTGTCCAGACGCAATAACTTTATCTCTTAATGGAGCAATACGTTCAGGGTGTGGTTTTAATGGACTTGAACTAAAATCGCATGGACTTGGACTCATACTAACGGGAGGAGGACTACCGGCAACGAAAAAATCTTTCATTTCAGCTTTGGCAGCTTCGTCTGCAATCCTCTTGTTATCAATTATTAAGTGATAAGCTATTGCGAGTTGATCGTGAGGGTCACCACTTAAAAGAGCGCTGTGAACTTCGTTTTCTTTTACACCAAATTTATCACAAACCTAAAAATGATAATCTTAGTATTTAAATAAATTATTTTTAACTTTTTAACCTCAAATACAGCATCGGTATCAATAACAGAAGAATCTTGTTCAACTGGTGAAGGAAATAAATATGCAGGACAATCTTTTTGGAACCATTCGTGTTTTTTAATATCTTCAATTGATGCTCGTTTCATTGGATCAATTTGTAACATTTGACATAATAAATCAACGACTGATTTATTTAAATATTCAGGAATTGGGAAAATTCCTGATTTGATTTTTCTAAATAAAGTGGGAACATGTTCATCATCAAAAGGTAAAGTTCCACAAAGTAAGGCGTAAAGAATTACTCCGCATGACCAAATATCCACTTCAGGACCGGCATAAAGTTTTCCTGAAATAACTTCAGGTGCTGCATAGTTGGGTGAACCACAACTTGTTCGTAAAAATTCTCCATCCATCATCATATTCGATAAACCAAAATCAGCAATTTTTACATGCATATTATGATCGAGAAGGAGATTTTCAGGTTTTAAATCACGGTGCACTATCATGTGTCTATGACAATAATCAACTCCTGAAATGATTTGTTGAAAAAATCTACGAGCTTCGTGTTCTTGTAATTTTCCATGTTTAACAATGTAATCAAAAAGTTCCCCACCAGACACATATTCCATAATCATGAAGATATCCGTTGGTGTGCTTATAACCTGATATAATTTAATTATATGAGGATGTCGAAATAACTTTAAATTTTGTATTTCTCGACGAATTTTTCCCACAACATCCAAGCTTTTTATTTTTTGTCGATTCAATATTTTAATTGCAACTTTGTGCTTCGTCAATTGATGTTCGCCAATTTTTACTTTACCAAACGTACCCACGCCCAACGTTTGCCCCAATATGTAATGGCCAATTTTTACGGGGGGCTGAAAACCTTGACTCGTTTTCTCCGACATTTTTTTTATATTAGATTATCAAAAAAAAATATTACTTCCAATCATACAACGAAAAACACGTATAAAATTCACATTAAAGTTTTTTTTAACACAATAGTTAACTAAAAATTGTTGAAAATTACACGATCACCATAAAAATAAAACACATCACGTTGTTGCTATACAAATTGACAGATCTGTCAAAAATTTTTTTACGACGTAATTTTTTGGGTTATTTTTTTTGACATAACCAAACATCAATTGAAATAGGAAATGTTCGATTGACTAATACATAAAATTTTATTAACATTAATTATTAAATTAAACATTTTCTTTTAAAATCGTAATGATTTCAATAAAAATAATTGTTGTTATTATTTCATTTTTCTTTTTATGAGATAATCTAACGAAAAGGAATTTGTTAACGACGCTGGGTGCGCCATCTATTGACATTTTTCTGAATGATGTAAACATTTTAATTTTTGTATTTGGAATTCATAACGATTCATAACTTTCCATATGGTATGGACTGTATAACCAGTGATGGGCGCTGGGTAAATACCCGGCGGGTAGGTATTTCTAAAATGGGTATTTACCCCGGCCCAGGGTAAATACCCAAACAGTGGGTATAAAAGTGATACCTGTAAAAATATAACAGATTCCAAAAAAAATGAAGAGGAAGATGATGAGGACGTTGAAGACGAGGAATTGTCAACAATCAAAGACGTATTATCATCAGACGAATCTGTCGTAATTTAGATTAGATCAAGTTATTATGATTATTATCATCAAGCAGCCCTCTGCGTCCATTGGTGGACACAGACCTCCCCTATTCTGTTCCATTCGATTCTATTTTGTGCTGTCTGAATCCAATTGTTGGTCATTCTTTTGACGTCTACTTCGTCAGTTCGCTCGCGGTCTCCACTCAAGCAACCGTTTTATCCACTTAAGATTTGCCACAATGTTGACCACATCATTTATGCCAGTTCTTCTTTATAGGTCTTCAATTCGTATGTAGTCCCTCAGAGTTAGACCCAGGATCGACCTCTCCATCTATTTTTGTGTTACTTGGACCCTCCTGGCAGATGCTACCGTTAATGTTAAAGTTTCGGAGCCTTATGTCATAGCCGGAAACACGCATTGATTGAAAGCCTTGCTTGGCCTTTTCTCTTGAAGGTGTCTCTAAGTTTCCCGTAAGCTGCCCATATGAGTGTGATCTTTCTGTTTAGTTCGGTTGTTTGATTATCTCTCGATACACGAACCTCATAGCCAAGATATACATATAGCTGTCAACCCTCTCAATCTCATTATCCCCAATGTTGATATTAGAGCTGGGAACAATATTGATTATAAATTTTGATTTCTCCTTGTTGATATTTAGCCCGACTCCTGCACACACCTCCTTCAAGTCATTCAGCATTAGTTTAATTTCTCCAAGGCTATCTGATATAAAAACTATATCGTCCGCGCAGTGCAAATTACTTTAGCATTGCAATCAATGTTTATGCCTTTTTGGGTCCAATCCAGTTGTTTAAATGCACTCTGAGGACTGTGAGGAACAATTTGGGTTCAATAGTGTATCGCCTTGTTTTACTCACAATCAGTACTTTACTACTTCTACTCTCTTCAGTATTTTCATGCAATTTTACCGTCATTGTAGCATTCTTATAGATGTTATAAATAAGTTTGGCATATCGATAATCGACTCTGCATTCTTGAAGTGCTTGCAAAACTGCCATCAACTCAATTTAAATTAAATTTTATAAATACCTCTAAATACCCATCTTGGGTAAATACCCCCGGGTATATATCCAGGAAATTTACCCTTCAAAATAAATACCCGGGTATTTAATAACACTGAGTATAACAGATCGAGGACTTTCCTCTAAAATCCATAATTTCATTTTTATATTAATAAAAAAGGGTGTGGATCTGCATGACCCACAAGCTTTATGGAGGTGCATTTAGACTCAAAATGGTCAAAACAATCTACTGCACACAATTGTTTAATATCATATGGATTGATATCGATTACACTCTCCTAAATATTGAAAGGATTCGAATCATCCCTAAATTGATGGTTATAGAATTTCGTGTGACAAGAATCTTACCATCACATTCTAGGAAACTCTGGCTAGAGATTTTTGTCTGGTGTTCATTCAAAGCATACTAAAAATAAGATATCTTTGCATGTAATGAATTTCTTCTTTTATTTAATTGTTACGTTCTAAAAATGAAATGAAAACTGATTGATATTTACAACCCTTGGTGGGTTTTGGTCTCCAGAGTTCTGCACCAGTTACTCTTCTCATCCCCTCAAGTCATCCTTCACGTCGTCCAACCATCTTTTACGAGGTCTTCCTCTAAGTCTTTTCTCTGTAGGTTTCCATTCTGTAAGGATTTTTGCACTGCTATCATCTTCCTTTCTTCTTACGTGTCATCTAATTCGCTGACATTTATAACAAATCTGCTTATCTCCTCATCACCAACCAGGGCATTGAGTTCAAAATTCATTTGAATTCTCCATGTTCCATCTTTTACTGGATCAAATATCCTTCTTAGTATTCTTCTTTCTAACTTTTTAGATCTTCTTCGTCTTCTTTTAGAAACATCCATGTTTCACATCCGCACCTTACCACTGGTCTTATTAAACTCTTATATTTTCTCATTTTAGAGCTGTGACTTAGTATATTCACCACATCAGTTTCTTGTTTGCGAAATAAGCTTTATTGCTCTTTCCTATTCTTGTCTTTATTTCATTACTTACAGATTTATTCTCGTTAACTAGCGATCCCAAGTATGTACACTCATCCGTCGTCTTAAATCTACTTTCCCCGACTCCAAGTTCCTCCCCGATATCTGTTCCCCCAAGGTCTGTAAAACGTATTGTACAAGGTTAGTCAGACGAAGGATTTCAACGTATGAACGACATAATTTTCATAATCAGAGTGTTCAATTAGGAAAAGCAGTATATTTGAGATAAACTACTTCGTTTCAGTCTCTAGCTCACACTGATTCGTAACTCGTGTCGTCACCCCCTTCTTTCAAGTACAATGTACTTTACAGACCTTGCGTTCCCTTTCTTGACATCTTCATATATTCGGTTTTATTTAAATTCGACTTTATCAAGGAATCGCGAGTTCTCTCTTATTGCTACATCATTTCGCCCAATTATGACCATGTCATCCGCGTATGCGACAATTTGTCTGCTATTAGTTGTTAAGTTGCCTTTTGGGATCATTTCGGAGATAGCCGCGTGCAATATCAGGTTAAAAAGCAGGGCTGAGAGAACATCTCCCTGTCTAACACCACCGCGGCCTTTGTTTCTTTCAATGCTAGTTGTACAAGATTAACCAATTTCTGTGGGATACCCAACAGCAACAGGTTTTGAAAGAGCTTCGTCCTGTCGACACAGTCGAAAATCTGTTTGAAATCGATGTTACATCAAAGTCATATTCGTAACCCTTCTCCAAAATCTGCCTCAAAGTGTGTATGTATGTAGTTCCATGTGGGGGTGAATTCCTTCACTGCACTTAGGCCCCAGACGAGTCCTTTGTACATCTCCACAATTTACAGTTCATTCAGGGGTCAGAAAACTAGCCCATGGTTTTAAAGAGCGTTAATATAGAAGATAAGGGTTTTCAATGTCCGAAAATTGGTGCCATGGTACGCCAAAAATTGATTCCCTTAAGTAGGCGAGGTTGGGACAGTCACAAACAATATGACATACCGTCTCGTCTTCCATTTCATACCCTATACCTAAAGGGCTGTATTCGCCAGCTTCATATAGAACATATACTTACGTAACCTGTAGTGTCTGGTCAGGAAGTGGGCGAGGAGCCTCAAGTCACTTTTTGATTTTTTCAGGAAATGGAAAGGGGCTTTTCTCTTCCGGTCAGGGTAGAACGGAGTTTTTTTTGCAAAGACACTTACTCCAGTCTCATCCCATCTATCACAAAAAGCTCGTTGGAAGATGGAGTTGATCAGATTTGATGCTTTATTAAAAGTTAGTGTATATCCGGTATGTCCTTTCCGCCACTTTATCGTGATGTTAGTTCGATGCCTACTAAGCGCTAGCATAGCCTGTCTACTATCAATGCAGATTACAACGTTTCTGTTAACCTTTTTGGAGTCGACATTAGCTGCTATATTTATAGCAGTTATTTTGGCCAGAGCAGTCGTGCAGTACGACCCTAGCGAAATGGAAAGGTGCAGTCGGGTCCAGTTTTCTTTGATCCATCAGTGGGATGGTCAGCGTTTTATCTGCGCTAAAGTTGCTCCGGGATATTGTTTCAATGCCAAAGTAGGCGTGATGTAGTCTCACTCAAGGGTTCGTTCTGGACTATTCCCATTTTTACAACTTGCTTATTATGAACTAATCGCAATCGAAGCAACGCCATCACGCCAACCTCCCTAATAGAAATATCTAGGGTCAGTCTGGGGTTCAGCTCAGTCTCTATCGCGATCGTGGGTGTCGACCTCATGGCGCACATACTTAACAAGCAGGCCAGTCGTTGAAATTGGTGCAGCAATCTAGCCTTATATGTATGTTTTAGCGCTGGGCATCAAACTATGACTCCGTGAGCTACCATGCTGGGTTTTATCACAGAACTGTAAATCCACATTGTAATGCTCAGATTTAATCCTCATGTAGTCCCAATTGCCTTTCGATATTCGATGAGTGTGTGATGTGATTTCCAAGTCAGTCCTTTGTCCAAGATAACATCAAGATATTTCACCTCTGGAGGCCTCAAAGTGTGTATATGGTCTGTTCTAAATCAGTTGGGTCGAAATCCACATTGGTAATCCCCAAAGATTTCCTCTGCATACTCGCTCATTTTATTATAGATGAAGCATGAAAATATTTTATTAATAGCAGTGGTAATCACGGTTGTGGCCCTTTTTATGGATAGGGTGTATAAGGCCCTGGTTCCATTCTTCAGAGTTCCATATTAAGCATATAAGCTCATATATACAGTTCCATAGAGTTTGTTCAAGTACCTAATAATTTTTTAATGATTTTATTGTATCTCTAATTTCATCAAATGTGGGAGGTTTTAACTCTGGTTCGACACATATCAAACTCTTGAGGCTCTGTATTATTTTCCTGATTTAGCAATTCCTGAAAGTATTCTCTATTTGCCAAGAATATCATCTTCTTCATATAGTAGATTCCTTTCTTTATTCTTGCATATGGATTAATGTGGCCTGTACTACTTTACTTCCTCTCTCTTTGCCTTTCTGCACCTTTTTATTGGTGTCCTTCTTCTGCTGCTATATTCCTTCTACTTATCTCTTGTATTCTTTTGTAGATACCTCCCTCTCACTTCATCCTTCTCCTCAATCCAGGAGAAAATTTATTGATTATAAAATGCTTTTTTTTTTGTAATATGCTGTTTTTAAATTAGCACTATACCTTTGTCTAAGTGACTCAGATGTTACTCAAATATATTCAACATCATTTCGTTTTAAAAATATATTATTAAAAACTGTAGTAAACTCTGTTTAGATTGCGATACATTTTTAAAGCAATAATTTCCTTCTCATCTGTATATCGTTTTGTTTTAATGTTACATCAGCATATAATTGACAATTATTAAAATGAGTTGAATTGTAAAATCTATCTATTATCGAATTATTCAAGATGAAACGATATTATAGATTGTGTTTAAATTTTGAACGTTTAAACGTCAAATATGACAAGTAAAGAGGTTATGTTTTATGAAAGTGACGGGAGATAAGAAATGTTCGATTGAAAAAATTATTTTTTGCATTGGATATCTTTAGAATTTAATTAATTCAATTCATTTATTACATTTAAAAAATCAATTCTGTAATTAATCTTAATAATAATAAACTTTCTTGATTTTGGTACATTATTTTTAATGTGATGAATGAATCAATCGAAAATTTATTGATAGTAAAGTTAATCGGTTTTAATAATCATACATCTTGAACAATGATAAGAATTTATTGTTTATTCTATCATCAATTTTCGTAATGATTCTTAATAAGTTTAGTGTCGCACCCATCTTTAAATTTACCGCAATTCAACGGACTTTATTATCTCAAATCCAGTTTTGTTTACAAACAAGTATATGAAGGACTTTAACTGTGCATTGTCTTCTGATCTTCCAGTATTTTTTAATTACTTTTATAAATAATACAATATGCACCCTAACGAAGATCTTAGAACGGTTTTAAGCAGTGCTCTCCAAGGTTCTGGTACTTATAGCACAGCGGTTATTCCACCTTCTTCCATAGATATTAGTAAGTTATTGAAATATCTTTATTTATGTTTGATAAAAATAAATTAATTGCGTTATTTTTTTTATTTCAATAGCGAATAGTATCAATTCTTCGTCAGTTGTGTGTCAAGATTATGTGATCTCAGAGAGCATTTTAGGTGAACATCATTCCGATGGAAGAATGTCTAGTGTTCGAAGGTTTTTTTGTTTATTTGTTACATTCGATCTTTTATTCACCTCTTTAATGTGGTTGATATGCATTATGGTAAGTTATTTTGTAACAGAATTGATATAAATTAAATGTGTAACTTTTAGCTTAATGGAGATAGTATATGGGTTGCAATTAATAAAGAAATTTATCATTATAACATACATAATTCTTTATTCGACATTGTGTTAGCTGCAATGTGTCGTTTTACAGTACTACTTTTATTTTATGGGTTATTACATATTAATCATTGGATTATTATAGCTTTGTCAACAGCAGGAACATGTGCTTTTTTAATATCAAAAGTTTTTGTGTACAATGTAAGTAGAAAATTTTAAGTTATTTCATAAAAAAGTTTGAATTTTCAGTTCCAAGATTCATCTCAACCCGTTTTTCAAGTTTTATTAGTGTTAACTTCTTTTGTACTTTCTTGGGTTGAAGTTTGGTTTCTTGATTCTCGAGTCATTCCTCAAGAATCTCAAGCAAGACAAATCATTATATGTAAGGATTTTTTTAAACAATTAAATGATTTTTTATAACCTTTTAATTAGCAAGCCCTGATACTGAAAGAACACCATTGTTGAGAAGATTTATTCAAGGACAACATGTGGTGCAACCTTCTGAGTACACAGAAAGTGTTGGAAATTTTCATTCAGTTCAAGGATCTCCAACTGGGTCTTTAAATCGGTTTGGGGAAACACCACAAAGATTTCCATCTATGCAATTATCTTATGAACAAGTAATACTATAACCAAAAAAGCTATAAAGTGTTAATTTTTTTATGTTTTAGATTGAAAAATATAAACAATTAGGTATTAAAGCTTATCGAGACTCCACTTTATTTTTGAATTCAAAAAATTGGAAAAAATATAAAGTAAGCGACGACGATGTAGTTTATGTCCAAAATGTTCAAGGAATTGGAAAAATTTATAAATTAGCTGTAAATTTTCTGTCTTATTTCTAATACAATTCTTAAGTTTTCATTAATTTTTTAGTGTAAGGTAAATGTAGCAGCTAGCTTTTTATTCGAAGAACTCTACCATAATGTAGATAAAATGACCGAATGGAATACAACTTTATTAGAATCACACAAAGTTCAAATTATTGATCAACATACAGATATAACCTATCAAATTTCAAAAAGCGCTGCTGCAGGTTATATTTCAAGTAGAGATTTTGTTACCCTTCGAAGGTGGCAACATCAAAGTAATTGTTATGTTATTGCTAGTGTTGGGGTTGAACTTCCAATAATTCCTCCCAATGACAAATATATAAGGTAATATTTCGTGTATACATATACAGTGTGTCAGTTAATTATAGTATCAGTTACAAGTATGCAACCAATATCACAGTGTAATACGCATCGAAAATACTGTGATAATGGTTGCATACTTGCAATGATGACGTCAGGTACGATAATTAATTAACACACTGTACAGGAATCCCATGTAAGCGGAAAAATAGATAAATAACATTAAGGAGCCAAGATACACAGTTGTTCTTTAAAGAAAAGTTGTAGGAAATTTACCACACTATAAACAGAAAATATTTTTATACTTACAGGATGTTCCATAACGAAATACTGACAAACATATGTTGTTTTTAATGGAATTATATAGTTTTACTTGCGTATTCTGATTCTACACACAAAAATATGTTGACTTTAATAAGATATGTTGGTCCCTAGTGCTTTTGGTTTTTGGGTTATTTTAATTAGAAGCTTTTTTTAACAATTAACACTGAATTAAAAAATTAAATCTGAATTGCTCAGCGAGCGGTTGAACTAGAAAGTTAAAAATTGGTATAGTTTCGCCTTGGATTTCCTCATTGGTTTTATTGGTCTATTGGTTTTATTGGTCTATCTTATACAGGATGTTAAAAAATGTAACTACTGTTTTACCATATTCAATTGTAAAAAAGTTGAAAATTTTAAATGGAACACTCCATATTTTATTAGCTTATCAGGTAGAGAATTTAATTCTCTATAAATCTTCAGTACATGTTCCTACACCTATCAGTTGCAGTTTCTGAGATATTGCGGAATGAATCAAAACCATGCAACGAATGGCGTGCCAATCAAATATGGGGTGTTCCATTTAAAATTTTCGATTTTTTTGCTACTGAATATGATACAACAGTAGTTTCCTTTTGAACATTGCAGTATGCTGTGCACACGACATGTAAAAACAAGTAAACATGTTGCTATATAAAAATTATTATTATCATTATCAAGTGATCAAGGTAGATGAATATATTCATCTA